TAACAAATGACTGGTTATTAGAAGGTAAGGCTTGACCTGGACTTCCATACTATTTAAACAAAAAGCCACTTTATTGTCAATTATGATTACTTAACAGTAAGAGCTTTGATCTTTCATAAAATCATAATATCAACAACAACAACAACAACAAAAAAAAAACTCAAATTAGCAACAATTATACCAAAAAAACCCCCAACAAAATGCAGATTGAAGGAGTATTTCAGGAGTTTTTGGTGATCTTCCTATTTTCAATGGCTTTTCAAGTGCTCTTTGAGTTTTTCAAAGATTTTAAGGTGTAGCATAAACCATGATAAATTGAACACAAAGTTGTAAGTTCATATGTGATTAACAGACCTTTCTGAAATACAAAATCATGGTGCATTGTGGTCTAGCTTCAGTACAAACAACGCCATATTTGGCAGCATGAACAAAAGATGCTTGTAACAAATCTAGACCACAATGCACTGCAAACTGCTATTTCAGACAAGGCCTATTGAACCAGGAATGCACCCTTAATCAATCCTATAGATGTATGAAGTATTTTCAAGGTGGATTATTCACATGAATCACCTGTTGCTGTGGGGGCATTGATTGCCATTGCTGTTGTGACTGTCCCTGCTGCTGTTGCTGCCAGTTGCCAGTTAATGCTGGTTTCTAAATGAAACATAAGAAGCATGACACTGCATTCTTAAAACCACAATTATAACAGCAGTCTTTGCTTACAAGTATCATAATGGCATGTGTACCTCATTGTAAAGATATGAAAGCTGTTCATTTCAAAGAGAAACACAGCWAAATTGTTTGATTTTGACATAAAAAAATTRTTTGATTTTGACATTAATTACCTGATTTAACAGTGGTTGTGCGCTATTAAATGATGAGTTCTGTTGCTGGAATTCTGATTGGTAGCCACCAGTTTGACCGTTAGGTTGGTATGACATGGAATTTTGGCCAGAAAATCCTGGGCCACCTAGAGTAGGGTAYTGTTGTGTATTGACATTAGATAACATGCTTTGGTTACCACCTAAAAGTAATGGTTGCATGTTAATATAAAGTTTGGTAATTATATTGTTGATCTATCAAGAATACAATATTATTACTGTACAATATAAATTATTTACACACCCCATGTATTACTGGACATCAATGGTGTAGGAACTCTAGGTCTGGGACCATTACCAGATCCTTGCCCAACACCAAACCCAGTACCACTTYCTGAATTACTGAGAGGACCTGTCTGGAATAAGGACTGCTGTCCTTGCATGAGATTTGGTTGCTGATTGGACAATTTTGACTGCATTAGGGGTTGCGGCAAGTGTTGGTTGTTGATATTATTAGGAGCAATGCCTTGTGAAGACAGTGTTGTACTTCCTTGTAGCTGTGATATAAAACACTGTATGACATACAAGTCAAATTAAAAAGTACAGTGTTGTATTTTCATGGTATGCAAATATTATTAAGTAATATTTACAACATGAGCGGCCGTGTTGTATGGGATTTTACAATCTCGAGCTGAAGATGAGAGATTGTAAAGCCCATACAACACGGATGCGAATGTTGTAAATTACTTGTGAAACGTTTATGTGTATGTACATTCATAATCTACCAAAAACTTAAAGATAAAATTGAATTTGGCTGAGAAAATTAGATTTGAAGTTTATGCAAATCAAGACAGTTTTGTATCAAATATTACAACACTCTTCACGGTTGTGATTTCTATTGTGTTTTCCTCATTAATTATTCATGAGTTTTACAATAGAAATTACTTTAATACAATTAAGTCTTAAATACCTGGTCGGAACCTGCTACACTGGGTTTATTTCCCATTAAGGGCCTTACAGGCCCACTATTTCCCTGWGGTCCTTGTAACCCACCAGGTGATGGCCCTCTTGGGACTATTGGTCTTGGAGACTGTYCCCTTATGTCCATTATTGGATTAGGTCCTCTTGGATTACCCATGACTGGYTGTGGTGGTCTACCAGGTCCTGGGAAMATGCCTGGTGGCCCAACAGGCCTRGGGAAGAAACCAGCTCTTGGGTCCCACATCTGCTACACAAATAATCACATMGAGAATAATAATAGTATAGAGTGGAAAAATCAAAATTTCAAGGTATTTTGTTTGCAAAAAAACAGATGATTTGCAGTCTTTGTTCACTCGTTTTTTGTTTTAGAGACAAAGTGTTTGTCTTTTGGGTGACTTTTTCRGGACTTCTTTTTCAGATTTTATTAAATACTAATTAGGGTAAGTACAGAGAAAAAAAAGTGAAAATTAATAATTGTACAGTCACAAATAAGGCCGTATAGAGTG